AGGCAGGCCACACCCCCAATGAAACACCCCTTTCAACTGATTGGCTGATTACATCAGATCCTATCATGCAGGTGATTACATTATATCATATATTATATTATAGATTAGATTAGATTATGGAAGAGCAATCAGTCCAATGTCTGCCAAACCACTAAGAATCACAGCCTAGCCAAGTTCACACATAACATTAGCCACTATACTTTTTTACAGAATAATTCCATTTACCTCTTTTTTCCCCTTTGTTCCATTTCTGCCATTTATTAACTTGTATTTTATATCCCATGATAACTCTCCTACTACGTTTGCTTTAAATACTCAACAGGTTTTTAAAGAAATTAAGAAAATTTAAAAATGTATTATTTTATATTTACTCACATACGGTATATAGCATTTCTAGTGTTATTTTTTTTTCTTGTAGATATGAGTTTCTTTGGTATTATTTATCTGTGAAGAACTTCTTAGGATTTCCTGTAGTGTGGCTGTGAGAGTGAAAAATTCAGCTCTCATTTAACTGAAAATGTCTTTCTTTCACTTTCATTTCCAAAGGATATTTTCAATGGATACCGAATTTCAGGTTGACATTTTCTTTTTATCAGTACCTTAAAGATATTCTTCACCATCAACTGGTTTCCATTGTTTCTGCTAAGATGTCAGCCACCATTCTTTTTTTTTTAATTGTGCTTAAGTGGAAGTTTACAGTTCAAGTCAGCTTCTCAAACAAAAATTTATATACACATTGCTATGTGACCCTAGCTGCTCTCCCTATAATGTGACAAAAACACTCCTCCTTTCCACCCTGGATTTCCTGGGTCCATTCAACTAGCTCCTGTCCTTGTTCGCCTTCTCATCTTGCCTCCGGACAGGAGCTGCCCATTTAGTCTCATGTATCTACGTGAACTAAGAAGCGCTCTCTTCACAAGTATCATTTTATGTCCCATAGTCCAGTCTAATCTTTGTCTGAAGAGTTGGCCTCGGGAATGGTTTCAGTTCTGAGCTAACGGAGACTCCGGGGGCCATGTCTTCTGGGGTCCCTCTAGTCTCAGTTAGATCATCAAGTCTGGTCTTTTTACCAGAATTTCAGTTCTGCACCCTACTTTTCTCCTGCTCCGTCAGGGACTCTCTGTTGTGTTCCCTGTTAGGGCAGGGTAGCTGGGCACCGTCTAGTTCTTCTGGTCTCAGGCTGATGGAGTCTCTGGTTTATGTGGCCCTTTCTGTCTCCTGGGCTAATATTTTCCTCGTGTCTTTGGTGTTCTTCATTCTCCTTTGCTCCAGGTGGGTTGGGACCAATGGATGCATCTTAGACGGCCGCTCACTAGCTGTTAAGACCCCAGATGCCACTCACCGAAGTGGGATGCAGAACATTTTCTTAATAAACTTTGTTATGCCAACTGACCTAGATGACCCCTGAAACCATGGTCCCCAGACCCCCACCCCTGCTACTCTGTCCCTCGAAGTGTTTGGTTGTATTCAGGAAACTTCTTAGCTTTTGGTTGAGTCCAGGTGTGCTGACTTCCCCTGTATTGTATGTTGTTGTTCCCTTCAACTAAGACAGTGCTTATTTACTGTGTAGTTAATGAATACCCATCTCCCTCCCTTCCCACCCTCGTAACCATCAAAGAATGTTTTCTTCTGTGTTTAAACCATTTCTTGAGTTCTTATAATAGTGGTCTCATAGAATATTTGTCCTTTTGTGACTAATCTCACTAAGCATAATGCCTTCCAGATTCATCCATATTATGAGATGTTTCGCAGATTCATCGTTGTTCTTTATCGTTGTCAAGTATTCCATTGTGTGAATATACCGTAATTTGTTTATCCATTTGTCTGTTGATGGGCACCTAGGTTGTTTCCATCTTTTTGCTATTGTGGACAGTGCTGCAATGAACATGGGTGTGCGTATATCTATTCGTCTGATGGCTCTTACTTCTCTAGGATATATTCCAAGAAGTGGGATTGCTGGATGGTATGGTACTTCTATTTCTAGCTTTTTAAGGAAGCGCCAAATCGATTTCCAAAAAGTTGTACCATTTTACATTCCCACCATCAGTGTAGAAGCGGTCCAGTCTCTCCACAAGCTCTTCAACATTTGTTATTTTGTTTTTTTTGGATTAATGCTAGCCTTGTTGGGGTAAGATGGTATCTCGCTGTAGTTTTGATTTGCATTTCTCTAATGGCTAATGATCGTGAGCACTGCCTCATGTATCTAGCAGCTGCCCGAATGTCTTCTTTGGTGAAGTGTCTGTTCTCAGCCATCATTCTGATTGCTATTCTTATGTATGCAATAAGTCTCTTCTTTGTTAAGTTGCTTTTCAGATTTTCTTCTTACCTTTTGGTGTTCTGCAGTTTGACTATAAAGTGCATAGGTATGTTTTGGGTTTTTTTTTAATACTGATTTTGGTTTGCTGAGCTTCTTGGCTCCACAAACCTATAATTTTAATCAAATATGAAAATGATTCAACATTCCTTAAACATGTTTACTGCTTCATCTCTTTCTCCTCTTTGTGGCATATCCAGGTACAAATATGTAATAATATTGTCCCACAGGTCACCAATGTGTGTTCATTTGTTTAAACTGAGATAAAATTCACGTATCATATAATTAACCATTTTAAAATGTACAATTCAGTGGCATTTAGTACATTCACACGTTGTGCAACTATCACCTTTATCTAGTTTCAAAACATTTTCATCATCCCAAAGGAAAACTCTACACCCATTAAACAGTTACTCCTCATTCCCTCTTCTTCTCAGCCCCTGGCAACTAGTAATCTGTTTTCTGTGTCTATGGATTGATTTATTCAGAATATTTTATAGAAATGGACTCATACATAATTTTTTTGAGGTTAATCCACATTGTAGCATGCATCATTACTTTATTTCTTTTATGGCTGAAAAATGTCAATCTTTTTATCACTCGGCTTTAAAGTAGAAAATGCATATTATGTCCACATTTTTATTGACCCTTTATTTGCTGTTAATCCCATCCTATGAATTTATTTTAGATATTGCATTTATGTTCTAGAATTTCCACTTGTTTCAGTTTTTAGTATGGAGGATCATATTTACATAACTCTAATATGTTTTGTATTGCTTTTTATATTGAAAAGAACAGTGGAAAATACAATATAAATTTTGTTTTGTTTGTTCCATAAAGGGTGCTAGCCCCTTCCTCTGTCATAGTTAAAGTGACGAGCTGACACTGGACACAGACTGCCTTTGTTCAAGTCCCAACTCCAATGCTTATGAGTTATTTAACCCTTAGCACAGTTTATATAATCTCTCTGAGGCTCACCTGCAAAACTGATATAACAGGATCTATCTCACAGTAGTTCAGAATCAAAGTAAGCACTCAAAAATTTTAGCTATTATTACTGGAGAAGGAAAGAACAAAGGGCTAAAACAGTTATTACTTAAACAATAACTGTCTATTTAGGACTACTGTATACATCAAGTTTATACTGAGGATAAACGTTATAGAAACAAGTAGGTAATTCAGCAATAAAAGATAGAGCTTAAGAGCTTTAATAACTATGTTAATTATTTTATACCATGCACATATTTAAGTATTTATGTACACACACACATCTGTAGCCCAAGGGGAATAGGATTGAGTTAAATCATATGGCTTATTTCATGATACACTGGTTCTTGCCCTTTTAACCTGTTTTATTTATTCTCTTATATTCCTATATCCTTTGTCCCTCTCCCTTTCCTACTAGCACCATTCTAGTGTGTTTGATGACTTTATGTTTGTATGTGTTCTTCTGAAATGTGTAGCCATTTTGTTCGCACATATTTTAATTAATGTAAATGAAATTGTGTTATATACTTTATTCACTTAGTTTTATGTTTTTAAGATGCTCTATGTATATATCTACTTCAGTCTTTCTAATAAGTTGCCCTGATTGTCTCCAACTCCCTGCTATCACAACACTACCATGAACATTCTTATAGAGCCACAAAGAGTTTCTTTAGGGTTTTTACCTAGGAGCATATTCTTAATTTGACTATTAGTGCCAAACCAGTCACATCAACATATGCATCCTCCCTTTAACAGTGCATTTGGGTTTCTACATCCTCACATACCTGGTAAGTTTTAGCATTATCCAGCTTTCTAATTTTTTCATCAGACTGACACTTGTAAGGTAATACCCTAGACTAAACTCACAATGCAGCAACATAAATTTGAAAAGACATTAGATTCCTTTTGAAATTTTATGACTGGAAAAACAGTGTTCAAGATATAACACAAAACACAATCTTGCCAACCTAACATAGCAACTATTTTCATATTTGGACACTGATTCTAGTTTTGTGCTGATGAATATGTCATTTATGTAGTTAAAGTTTCATAAAAGAGTTCTGGACTTTCCTTTTTCAGAAGATTTCATGATGATTATTTTTAATGACTGCACAATGGTCCGTCATATTTCATACTTTCGTTAGTCATTTAACTTATGCGAAGATGTAAGTTGTTTCAAATTTTTAAGAATTATGCTAATTTTTTTTGGTTGAATAATTTTCTCAAGGTAATCTGCACATTGTTGGCAAAAACAAAGCCCCACATTAAAGAGTTTCTAATGGTATTTTGTGTAATAAATTTTAATTTAAAATTTCCTATAGTTATATTAAAAACCATTCAACAGTCCAACAGAATAGCACATAGCTATAATTAACCAAGCTGTGTCATTACCTGGGAATGTGTACATTAAGTCATTAGAGTCAAAATTTCACAAGTAAATCTACATGAAAATATAACGATATACAATGATAATGATCAAGAAAGGATAAAAGATGATATAAATCAAGTGTTCAAACATACAGAATTTTTGTGAGGATTTTTGGACACTGAAAATTTAAATTAAAAAATCTTCTCCATAGTAAGTTAAAAACAAACAGCTTTCATCACAAAAGTTGAAGAAATAAAAGTACAAATATGTGATGTCTCCTACTATATACAACTGGGATATTAAAATAAGGATGCTTAAGAATTTGCTCACCAGGATCTCCCCCAGTAGGGTCATACATGTTTCTGGGTCGTACAGAAGGAACAGATGGAAAGAGAAAAGCTGTTCTCCAGCTTTTGACATGCACATGAGGCCGTGATGGCAACTTCATCCTGTCGAAACGACTAAAACGCAGATAATATTTTACCTAGAAAGAGCAATAGGAAACAAACATCTATAAACCAAAAAAAATGTTTAATAAAAAATTGGAGACAAAATGAAGTTAAAGCGCAAATGGGAATATGTGGCTTTGGAGGTGGTCTAACAAGTGCCAGAGTGGATTCTGGACATCGGGAAGTGAGAGCACAAGCTCACGTGCTCTGACCACATGTAATCTAAGTCAGCTTCCTTTAAATCTGTCCTCCCTCAAGTTCATGATATTTTTTACTTAAGCGTTAACAACACTTGGATGTATATTGTGGGTATGCAGTAAGCAAACACGGTGGCATCTTACATATCACTATGAATGTATTTTTTCCTAAACAGACAACTTGGCATATATATTGAAATGAAATACACCAATGGGTGGTTATTAATTTCTCTTCTCATTATGCCATCCAAGTGTTTCCAGGATAAAAATCTCATCTTCTCCTAAAAGTGATTTTAAGAAAGAATCCTATACGAGAGAACAGAGGAGGAATGCAATAAAATATAAATGTGGTGCGCTGCATATTTCAATTATTAAATGAAAATATAATACCAATTCTGGAGAGCTGAGTAAACATCAAGGTAGATCATTCTGGGCCTAAGTAACTTCTTAAGTCAATGAATGATAGACCAAAAGTTGGCAAAAATCAGTAAGATCAGGAGGGAAAGGCCCATGCTGTAGTGTCTAGGTAAATACTCACATATTCAGTTATCAAGACAAAAAAATTAGGCATTTACTACATGCTCAAGGGTGAAGGCATAAAACTTGTCACTCAAGGAGCTCAAATTCTAGTTGAGGAAACAAATATTTTTATAATATAGTAAATTCAGTGATAGAGCTATGTACATTACATTATAGGAGTATGAAGGAAGAAAGGAGTGGGTGTGGTCAGGCCAGACAGCAGAGGGAGTCACAACAGCAGAGTCTTAAAGAATAAGTAAGAGTAAGCCAAGAGAAAGGAAGATTATACAAGGCAGAAGAGAATGAATTTGAAACTGCACTCAAAACTCTTTGCACACTGTTGAGTCTACACCAGCACTGAGTAATCTGAGGGAAGCTGGCACATATGGAAGGAGAGACTACTGGACAGAATGAAAAGATACCTACAGTCCTACCACTGGGTTCCTTACTTTGTCCTTCCATTGACAACCACATATATCCTAAATGCAGAATGTGGTTATATATATCTATATACCTGTATATTTGGAGATACATACATATATATATATTTGGATAAATATATATATTTGGATATATACATATATTTGGACATACGTTTGGAGATACATATGTTGGGATATATTACATAAATATATATACACACACATTTTGGGATATATATACTTGGATATATATATATATAGCCGAATATTGTATTTTGGTTATTTCCCTCATTATCAGTTAACATGTCTGTAGGATGTGATAAAGATACACCAACTTCAAAGCACTGTCTTTCTCTCTCCTCTTTAAGGGCTTTTAGAATCTTCCTCAGTGTCTGCATATTTCCTAATTCTGGCTCAGGCTGCTGAGCCTTAGTGTTATTTTCTAGATTTTGGTGTAGGGGAGAAATTACGGGATTCACTCAAGAAGGAAATTCTGTGTTGGGACCCCTGCTGGTGAAAATGCATCTACTTTATCACATCAGGTCCCCTGGCCTTGGAAATGTGTATTTACTTTGCCATCATCTGCAGGGCTGGAGGCAGCTGCCATATCAGATACACTGCTGAAAGTAATATCCTAGTTGCCATTGTTTCTCATGATTCAATTTATAAACATAAAGCCTGGTAGGTAGTGAATACAATTCTTTCCTCATCAGCAACGTCTAAAGTGCACAGACACTGACGTTAATAAAATTTGGATTCAGACTCCTGCTCTGCCATATACAAGCAGTATGATCTTGGGCAAGTTATTTTCCCCACATATAAGACAGGATAATGATACCTCTACCTCATTAAATTCCTGGAACTACAAGTATAATTATGAGGTTTCTACATAAAACTTTCTCACCTTAAGTGGCAGGGGATCATAGCTATTTTTGAAGTCATGGTCAAAAACAATAGCAGCCAGCATTTTTTTAGAGTTATTCTCATACTTAATGTAATTCTCAAAATCTCTCTCTGAAGAAAAGCCATGAACTGTAGAAAGAGAAAAATACAGTATGAGAATTGGTCACACAAAGGCAAAACATTTGATAGCCCTTCCTATCTGTAGATTGGGATACCACTTTACATGGATGAAAGGTTATCAAAATAGTATAAATTTCAAAACACTGTTGCTCAAATATTGGCATAGCCAACTAACGGATATTTGAAGTGTACAATAATTTTTTGAAGTTTTAAAAGTTTTACCACAAATTTAAAATAATAATTATTATAATAACTGCATACTGAAGTAAGCTAAGGGATGCTTCAAACCATTATTGAAATGTCTATCTTGAAGGAAAATAACAAAATTGATCTATGCAATCTATTCAAAATCTGTGACATGGGAATCTCTGTTTGAATAAAAAATACTGAGAGCTGGGGAATGAAACCACTTTGCAGTTTCAATATTTAATGTGATCCATTAACAAATTTAGTCTAAATTAAATTTAAGCTGTGTGAGGGCACTCTAAAACTGAGGTGCTAAGTGGGGCCAAGACGGAGGAGTAGTCAGACGCTTCCTGTGGTCCCTCTTATCACAAAGACCCAAAAAAACAAGTGCATCACTTATATATGACAATCTAGGAGCCCTGAACATCAAAGGCAATGTTGAGGAATTGGACTGAGTGGGAGAGGGAGGGAGAGATGGTTCAGAAGCAGAGAGGAGTTGCCAGACCTGACCCGGCAGGAATCGGCACCCTGGAGGCCAGATGGGCTCATGTGCACACTAAAGCATGCAGTGGCACTTGGATGCATTTTCCACACTGGGAGAGACCAAGAGGCAGAGCGCCTACTCAAGCTTCCAGAACCAGTGAAAAGTGGTGCTCAATCAGCAAAAGTAAGTACAAGCGGCTAATCTACTGCATGGATCAAAAAACAACCCCTTTGGGAAGAACCTCTGTCATGGATTGAATTATGTCCCCCAAAAAATGTGTGTATCAATTTGGTTGGGCCATGACTCCCAGTATTGTGTGGCTGTCCTCCATTTTGTGACTGTAATTTTATGTTAAAGAGTATTTGGGTGGGATTGTATAACACCCTTACTAAGGTCATATCCCTAGGGTGTGGCCTGCATCACCTTTTGTCTTACAAGAGATAAAAGGAAAGGGAAGCAAGCAGAGAGTTGGGGACCTCATAACACCAAGGAAGCAGTGCCGGAAGCAGAGTAGTCTTTTGGACCTGGGGTCCCTGTGCAGAGAAACTCCTAGGCCAGGGGAACATTGATGAGAAGGCCGACAGAGAGAGAAAGGCTTCCCCTAGAGCTGATGCCCTGAATTTGGACTTTTAGCATACTTTACTGTGAAGAAATACACTTCTCTTTGTTAAAGCCATCCACTTGTGGTATTTCTGTTATAGCAGCACTAGATGACTAAGACAACCTCTCTCCCACTTACCTACCCCCTCCCTGCTCTGCACTGGTCCAGGCCAGCTTGAGTGATTGTTGCATCCCCTAGGCCAGAAGCAGGACCATGACGCACCCTGAGCCATTCTCCCAACCTTGGAAAGGGAAGAAATTAACAAACAGGAAAAAATAATCTGCCAGCTTCCCTAAGCCGGGAACTCAGGGCAGGCACAGCTCCCTTGCCTAGGCACAGGCACAAAAGGTCCACAGACTTTGAATGCCTTTCACCCCTGCACAGACCTGTGTGGGCCTATTCCAACAGCGTAGACCCTCATGAGCACAGTCCAACAGGGTATATACCTGAAGCCGAACTTCATCTGTATCAGCTATACAGTGGAGTGGCAGGTTTGTGACATTTGACACTGCTCTGCCCATTAAGCAGGGTCCTCACCTACCTGTATCAGGGGCCTGAGGACTGGTGGCTCCACCCACGCCACTTAGCAGTACCAGAAACTTGATTATCAACATTGCTTGCTGTAACATCTACAATTTAGAGACTACATGTAGAGTGAGAAGAATGTCACTAGGGCTATATAAAAACTTTGGCAAACAAAAGTAGTAGCATCCCTAGACTTAGAGGATACACATTCATGTCATCATCTCTTGAACTGAATATTCCCTGTGTGGTAGTGAAGCCTAAAGCTGCACCTGTGCTGTTGCAAGACTCACATGAGAACGCCGATGCTGTATACATCATGCTTCCTGTCCTATGTACTTTCTCAAGTTAGGTAAACTTGGTGATTATTTAAAGTCTATTGTTCTATTTCATTCTGTTGTACATAGGGTTGCTATGAGTTGGAACTGAATCAATGGCACCTAACAACATTTTCCTACTGTATCCTGGGATTTTGACCGCTATCCAAACCTGAGATCACTGCTGGCGGTCATGAAATGATGCTGTGGTAGCTTGGGGGCATAATCATTACTTTTGGTAAAGCTGAGAAATACCAGGTATGCAGCACCTGACCTAATCCCCCTTTTGCAGGGGGTGGGTCCAGCTGAGATATAAATTCCAAAGCTGAAAGTAGGGTTTCAGGGTCTGAAATCAGTCCCATAAATATGTGGTGTGCTCTTCATTCTGTTTTTTTTCTGGAAAGACAGCTGTTGAGAGATATTAACATGTAAAGATGGTAGTATACTGGTTTTGTGATGTAGCAAAAGAGGTCTTCAATCAGGAGCCACTGACAATCCAGTCACTTTCAGTTGAAATCAGATTTCTCTTAACTTTGTGCCCTTTCCACCTTGGATTCCAAGGTCTATCACTTCAATTAACTCTTAAGATTCCTCAACTCATTTGCCTCTGCCAACTCCCATCCTAGAGACTGAAATTAAAAAAAAAAAAAAAACCCAACTCTGAAAGAATATAACTACATAACTTCTGACCTTTATCATGGCAATACATACCAACTTGCTTAGCCTCAATAAGTATAAGCACATGCACACATGTACGTGCGCACGCACGCACGCGCACACACACACACACACCCCTGAGCATGCAATCATTTTCCTGAAGCCCAGACTGGGTATAATTGTTCTTTCACTCACTGCCATGCATGAGAAAGCAACTGCATCAACCTAGGATGAGGGGGTAGCAACTAGAATGGGGAGCCAACAGCAGCTGGTGTGGTTGGGCTGGTGCATACCTGAGCAGCTCCTCCCCTCCGCACCTCCAGTAGTTCCCTTAGTTCTGCCTCCTCTGGTATAAGTGATTCTATTTGCTTTTTTCCTTTTATTGTCTTGATCTCAGATACCTCAAAAAATTCCATTGTCTATTTATCTTTGAAAGGAGTCCTAGTGGTGCAGTGGTTAAGCGCCTGGCTGCTAACTGAAAGGTCGGTGGTTCAAATCCACCAGCCACTCCATGGGAGAAAAGACCTTACAATCTTGTCCCATAAACCTGATGGGGCTATTCTACTCTGTCCTATAGGGTCGCTATGAGCTGGAATTGACTCCATGGCGCACAAAAACAACAATTCATCTTTGAAGATCAGCTGCTTTGGCTAACAATGTCTACCTGAGGTGAGGGGCAAAAGCCTAGGCACAAGCCTCTTGTCTTCCAAGTGAGTGCAAGCAGGTAATCAGGCATGTTTTGGGGGACAGAGCCTCTACTTTTAAATGTAAACCCAGCCACTGACTGTCACCCAACTTAGCCATGCATCCCTTCTGTCACAGGAAATTTCCCAATATCTTTGCCTTGAGCACTGAATCTTATGAGAAATAGTCACTATTCTTCATAGCTGCCCGGGTACTAGTGGTGAGGGAGTGCAGAGGGATTCACAAGTACATTTACATTAATTTCTATTAGATATCCATCATACTAGGCTTCTAGCTCTGCTTTGATACCTACTCAAAGTTTTCAGGTTGATGCAACTGCTGTCACTAGCACAGATTGCAAAGTAACTATCACTGATCTGGGCATCAAGACAGACGTTACATCCTCAAGGGTGTGTGTGTGTGTGTGTGTGTGTGTGTGTGTGTGTGTGTGTGTGTGTGTGTGTTGGGTGTGTGTGTGTGTGTTGGGTGTGTGTTGGGTGTGTGTGTGTGTTGGGTGTGTTGGGTGTTGGGTGCTTTACTTTAATGAGCAGAAACATATCTTTGCTTGATTTTCCCTGAAAATATAACCCAGGACACAAGAGGCTGTCACTCATCAGGCCGTGCAAGAGTAAGTGAGTGCCTCCTTAAACTGTGTATCCTAGGTGCTTTACCTGGCTAATCCTAGTTCCCATCCAGGAGAAGTGAGGTACAGAAAAAGGAAAAGCAATACAAAGTGCCACATTATGAGGTTAGACATGACATAGCAAGAAATATAACAAAACGTCACTGGGAGAATATTTGGAAATACTGCATCTGGAAACAGTCTGTGGAGAAGGAAGGGCAAGGAATTTATTTGTTAGTTCCTTCCCATCTCTGTCTTTCACTAGTCAAATTTTGCCCTATGGGGTGTTAACTCCCTTACATTCTGACTTGTGTTCCCTGGCCACTCCTGGGATCCACTAGGGAAGCCAAAATCTCTACACATCAGGATAAATGTCTTGGACACTGGAACTGCTGTGGTTCCCACTCTAGTAGAAATGATGGAGGCCATTCTGAAGTCTTTCCCTTATCCCAAGGGAAGCTCAGAGATCTGAGTTGTTAGGGGAAGAGATGAAGGCAAAGGCTCTCCACTGAACATGTGGCTGAGGCCTAGTGGGCAGGTAATGCCAAGAAAATCTGGGAAATACCTAAATGGGTTTAGTATATAACAACTCAGAATATACATCATTACGTAGCACACAAGCAATTTTTATAGAACTTGATCATGTATTAGGATACATAAAAGAACTTCAATAAATTCTGATGAATCAATATCTTAAAAAGACTATTCTCTGACTAGAATGTAATATAATTGGAAATAACAAGAAAACAGTTCTAAAATTCTCATATAAGGACTTCCAGTTTTAGCTATGATGAAGAGGCTTACATGAGGCTACCTTTCCCACTGCAAAAAAGCTGGACAAAATATATAAAACAACCAACATAAGCAGGACTTATGGAGTTAAGAGCCTTGAGAAATGGGAAGTACACAAGGTGAGTGCCATATTCACCCTGACTT